ATGTTGTTGATTTATATCTGTAGATTTTCCTAATCTGTATTATCGTTCAACGTATTGCGGAAAACCTCGATTTTAAAATTGTTAGTTTCTTGAAATTCCTGAAAAAATAGAAATGGGGTTAGGAGGTCGTCTACTTCAACTTAACTTACGTCCAACTTACCATTCTGGAGTTAGATTAGTATAGTCCGCGGCGCGAGTTCCCGCGCACACCTTCAATTTTTATGCGAAACAACTTGCTCCCAGCGGTCGCAGGAAACAAATCTAATTACATTTTTCCAATTTCTACTTACCTCTAAAAATTTCCTTCCCTACCTATCCTATTTCTACACACCCCAAAACCCTAACGCCAAAATTTCTGTAGGACAAAATGCTGAGACTAAGAGTATATGAGGAACACTATATTGAATATTTTCCCTCATTTTTGTTTGTTTGAATTATCGCGCGTTTTTAGTTGTTACCCGTTAGACTTTTATAATAATTGTATGCACTATATCCTGTCCTTGGTTTTTATATTTACTCTATTTTCTCTCATATGTCCCCGTAATGCCTCACGCGCAGAACCCTATTACCACCGGTCTCGTATTACTGAATTCTATGGCTTACTGTTACCTATCATAGACTGTTACACTTGCGTCTCCTGACACGACTTGGGAGTAGCAACCGCCCCTAATATTTTACGCTAAATTGCGGGAGAATTAGGGTTACTGTTAATTTTCCGGTTGCAGTTAGTGTTATGGGTGGTGTTACCGCTAAGTTTAATGTAAAGGTTAACTTTAGGATTAGTTATAACGACAGAGTAAGGTTTAAGCTCCGGACTTTGGTTACTGTTTGTTAATAGTGGGGTTAGGTCACCATAACGTGCACGAGCGAGCACCGCTATTGTGTGGCGGACGTTCCTATTCTTGCTTACTGTCTCGGGGTCGTTTAATGAATTCCTTGTTTTAGGCGAGCCATAAGGCGACCTCTGCTTCAGCATTTACTTATTTGATTCCATGGAGATGCCCGTTCACTGGCGGAATGCAAATACGTTTGGTAAATAGACCTATTGATTTTATGTAAGACAGCGATAAGTTCAGACACAGCACTACTAGGAGGCTATACTATATAATAACTAGTGCTATAAACGTACTCTAGTAGTCTTCTATAATCTAAGATATATTTTAAAATTTTGATTTAATATTGAGCGAGATTTTACGTCTACTCTAAACATATATTCTTATTAATCTAACCACTGTCATCGGAATTCATTTCTCGTCTCGATTGAAAAGAAAACAGTATTACATATCATTGTAACAGGGGTCTCATTTTTCTTGCCGCCTCAAATTTCGTGCCATGCTACTCGATACAATCACAGCCTTATTCTCATTTAATCCTAACATCTGAACATCTTCAACTTCCTATCCTTCCACTATGAATTAAATACTTTTTTTAGCAACAGCAGTAGAAGGCAGTTGAGAATCCTCTGTGAGACACTGCAAGAAATTAAATTATCCTAGAAGAAGCATGCACCAATCAAGTTGCAGGATGCGTTTATCCCATTGCGTCTTGGAGCTTAATCTAGAGCCATCACAGGAAACCAATAATAAATGCAGATAAGAGCCTGATGGCAGACACAATGGACTCCGGGATAACCATTTCTGACTTAGTGATCACGCAATACGTTACCACATTGTCGGGCCGTCAGTGTGCCGTACAAACTCACGCTCCGCATCAGTTGAAATGGTTTCCTCCCTTCACCAGTTGCGTGCAGGACTCCAGTTTCAACTCCTACTCTGAGACAAAGCCAGCACTATCCGTCCACCCAAATAGAAATATCTGGTGTTTTGTCATCATTGGCTGAGTCTCGCAGAAGTCGAATATTAGTGTCCGCGTCGTTCGCCGATATTCAGCCCCAAAATGACGGGCACAGGAAATATCATATCTTTTTAGAAAGGTCAATAGTAAAATTTAGCAACGCTATTGTCTCTTTTGCTAATTATTTTGTTTATACTTTAACCCTTAAAACAGCATTTGTGGCTAATTATTTGGCTGTAAGCCTGATTAAACAGTAAATCCTTTCTCCACATTCTTCTCGGGAAATTTAATGACAAGCATTTCGCCATCAGTATCGTCAAGACGACCAGCTATTGACTTGAGATTTCGTTTTATACCTCCCTTCTAGATGTTCTTTGAGGACCGTATGCCAGACTGCAATCCATCCAGTCAGACAAGCCTTGGTCACAGTCCCGACAAAGTGCTTCAATTCATCCAGAACGTGGCTGACGCCAGTCATCTGATCCTCTCCAACATCCACCTGCCCATCTTTCTCGAACCCTTCAACATGCCTTCTATACAAAATATTGAACAGTCGCAAGCTGCCCTGCCAACACCTATCACGCCAGTCAGCCAGCGAAGATCAGCTGACGGCCGTCCAGCGGTGGGCTTCGAATTACCGCTACCCAAGACTCCCAAGCACAGTGATGCGGGTCAAGTTAATGGCGCTTTCACTTCGATTGAGGTATGTCCCCCCCTGTTGTAACGGTTA